CTTATAAACAATATATTTCATCCGAACAATTTAATTTATTAAATGTAACTGTTATCTTTTAAATAAACTCTCTTACGTCAAATCGGCTGAATCGGGGAACATAGATTAAGTTTTAGTGCAAGTACAAACAAATGTACAAGATTAGAATAAAAAATATAGAATTTAAGCTAACAAAAACAAAATATCCAAAACAAGTTTACGTTATATTAGACCTATATTGAAAAAAATGTAAACTTTTCAAAAAATCGGCCAAATATAGTTTGGCCGTGACTTTCCAAATGCTACGGCCAGGCAAATTTTCATACGGCCAGATTTGAGGAATCTGACCGTCAAAAAGGCCAAATGGCAACCCTGGAACCCGCACCGCTAATGCATTACGTATCCATCCGAAGTACCTTTGGTATATCTTGCCGAGATAGGGGGCGCTACAGCAAATATATGGCTCTGGTGCTGAGTAGAGTTCCTACAAGATACCTCCTTGGTCTAGCCAAACATATTTTATGTGACCTTATCTAGTAAACAGTGAGGCTAAATGGATGATTAAATATGAAAATCCACTCAAATAAAGTTCAGGGACGTAGCCTGGTTCAGTCCTAGGGGTGGGTGCGAAAAAAAAAGAAAATTCAGAACTAAATTCCAAAATGTGGAACTAAATCCATATTCCAGAGAGCAGCTTAGCTGGGTCGGCTAATCTGGTGGTAGCCACTTCTGTTCGCTGAGCCGTTAAGATCTCTAGGTCTCCAGTTCAATTCCCAGTGCTGCCTCTCCTTGTGTTTTAGCTGAAGGCTGAAATACAAGTTACAATAGTGCACCATCTTTTGGATGAGATGTTTAAGCTGTTGGTCCCGTGTGCATTTATGGACTATGTGCAGTACACTTTTCGGAAAAAAGTAGGGGATTGTCACCCGGTGTACTGCCCATCACCACCAGAAGAACCCCACTGGAAACAAGTCTTCTAAACTTTCATGGGCTATCCTTGGTGTTTACACCCAATAAATCCAATCCAATGAAGACTTTTTAATATTATAAACCCACTTAGTGAACTAATTTGCTGCTATGGTTGGGGGAGGGGTCTGTCTGCACACCCACAAACACCACCCTCCCTCCACTCCACACCCATACCCATGAGGTCTGTTGGCTCAAAAATATATTTTACCTTCAATTATTAAACCTAGACATGACTTAAAATACAAAACATCATAACCACTAAGACCAACAGACAAAACAAATTTAACAAGTTTCTGTGATTATTTATTCAATAAAACTGGAAAACGTCCTACAGTCTCACTTAATTTCATAAAAGAACAAATAATGACTATTCATGTGTTAAAAATACAAGAATGAATTAAATTTTATAAGAATTCTCTACACCCATTTATCAGAAATGAAATGATACTTAAAATATATTTCAGTGCAAAAATCAAATACTGTCTAAGGACCAAGGTTCAAACAATTTCATTTAGAATCTTTAAATCGGTGGATGTATTGCATGGAACAATGCATGATCATAAAAATAATCATAGATACAAAAACTATCTATCCATAAAATATTATCCGTCCTTATCATTACCATCAATAATGTTGTCACTGTTATCTGTTAAAATGTTATCTGCAAAAGTAACAGATCATAAATATCATATTTGTTAATGTCTGTGTTTTACGAGAATCATGATCATTTTTGTAAGCAAAACAAATTTTTAAACCAAATGCATAACTTTTAACATAATTTACCAACTTAACATTCAGATCATATAATATAGGCCTATGAAATATGCCAATCAAGAATTATAACGAAAATGATGTACAATACTAAAATACATAAAAGTTAAAAAAAAATAAGGATAAATAATTAATAAATATTATACATTAAACTCATTTCTAAGCAATATGGTAGTGTCATTTCCATCAGTCATGCCAAAAAATATCTTGAATTTACAATATTTAAAATATGGAAATGGATTATAGTATTTGCAAATGGATAACGAAATATGACTAACCCTAACCCCCCACC